GCAGCCCCGGGAATGGCCCCGGGAATGCCGCATCCCGGTGTCCGTGCTGGGGTAGGGCAGCCCCGGGAATGGCCCCGGGAATGGCCCCGGGAATGGCCCCGGGAATGCCGCATCCCGGTGCCCATGCTGGGGCAGAGCGGCCCCGGGAATGGCCCCGGGAATGGCCCGGGAATGGCCCCGGGAATGCCGCATCCCGGTGTCGGTGCTCGGTCCCGGGAATGGCCCCGGGAATGGCCCCGGGAATGCCGAATCCCGGTGTCCGTGCTGGGGCAGGGTAGCCCCGGGAATGGCCCCGGGAATGGCCCCGGGAATGCCGCATCCCGGTGCCCGTGCTGGGGCAGGGCGGCCCCGGGAATGGCCCCGGGAATGCCGCATCCCGGTGTCCGTGCTGGGGCAGGGCAGCCGCGGGAATGGCCCCGGGAATGGCCCCGGGAATGCCGCATCCCGGTGTCCGTGCTGGGGCAGGGCAGCCGCGGGAATGGCCCGGGAATGGCCCCGGGAATGCCGCATCCCGGTGCCGTGCTCGCCCCGCTCCCGCCGCGGGCCCGGGCCGCTGGGCGGGGGCGCCCTCCGGCGGCGGCGGGCGCGGCCTTCCCTCGGGATCCCCTCACGGATGGATCCCCGGGATCGGGAGCGCTCCGAGCCGCGGCCACCGGGCCTCTGGGCTGACTGCTGCGCCCATGGATCTTCCCACTCACCGCCCACAAGCATCACAGAATTCCAGAACGGTTGAAGTGGGAAGGAACCTTAAAGCCCATCTCGTTTCATTCCTTGCCAGGGACACTTTCCACTATCCCAGGTGGCTCCAAGCTCCATCCAGTCTGGCCTTGGGGCACTTCCAGGGATGCAGCAGCCACAGCTTCTGTGGGCAGTCCATGCCAGGGTCTCACCACTTGTTCCTTGCCAATATCCCGTCTAACCCTTCCCTCTGGCAGTGGGAAACCACTGCTCCTTGTCCTGTCACTCCAGGTCCTGGTCCCAAATGCCTCTCCAGCTCTCCTGGAGCCTCTTTAGGTACTGGAAGGGGCTCTAAGGTCTCCCTGAACTCTTTTCTTCCTCAGGCTGAACATAATTCCATAACCTCAGTTTAGGTGTGTAATGGCTATTTCAAACAGATGTGATGTCTTCATGTTTTAGCACCGTGCCACAGTCTGGCTTCAGCATCACAGCGAGCCCAAGAGCAGGGCTTGGATTCAGCCAGGTAAAACCCATGAGAAATTGGTTTGGAGGGCTGGGTAATACTCAAAAACACACTCACAACCTCCACAAGGGGGTTTCCCATGACTGGCATTTCCACTGTGCCACCCCCTCCAAATTCAAGGTTGCATTTGAAGCTTATCCCTCCCAGACTGTGACTGCTCGTCCCTGTAACGTGGGTAACTGCACAGTACTTGTATTGCACTCAGATTCTGAGCTGGAAGGATCGGAGCTTTAGTTACTGAACTTAAAATTCTACTTGACCTGCTGGCTCATAGGCCTCTTCCTCATTGTCACAACTGTTGCTCTTCAATAAAATAAGAAAACAATGTAGGGTAAATCTGTCATTCTGTGTGTTTCTACAAACTCTTTAACCCAGACTGTGCTTTTCTTTCCAAAACTTATGTAGGATTTTTTTCCCCAATATATCAGATCAAAGACACAAGTTCCACCTGGTCTTGGCAAAATGTAATTGGTAACAACTAATTAACAATTAATGCACCAGCACTCATCCAATTCTGGAGCCTAATTAATTCACAAGGAAAGCGGGGGGGGGGAAAAAGAACAGGGCAGTCCTGCATCCTGAACAGTCTGTTGGCATGGGAAGGGGAAAAATCAGTGTAAGGTGAACTTCCAGGTGTGCTTTGATGTTGTGGGGCTACAGACAGGAGCTTCAAAGACGGCGTTTTGTTGTCTGTGTGGAGAAACCCCAGCTTAGCACTCCTGGCAGCTCCTTTTCTCCTGAGGTTTTCCAAGTATCATTATTTTACTTGTTACTCATTAGGCAGCCCAGCTGAAGGGTGCAGGAGGTGCAGGAGACAGCAATGGAATCGAGAACAAAAAGGTTGGAGGGGCTGGATTTGCATGTTTTGAAAAAGAAGACTGTGGGGCAAGACAAGAAGGGGCACAGTGATTTTCCAAAGGCCTGTGGGTTATCACACAGGGAACACTGAGATGGTGTGTCCTCAGGGACACTGCAACAGCCACTGGGTTAAGTCACAGCAAGAAGGGTGAAGAAATTTTGTTGTCAGGCACTTGAAGAGGCTGCAGAGGGAATCTCTGCCCACAGTGGTTTTTAAGAACAGCATAGACACACATAACTGGGGAGGATACAAAAATATCATTATCCTGTCTCGTGACTGGAGGTTGGTCTAGGTGAGCCCTGGGCAGCGAGGAAGGTGTTGGAGCAGTGCAGGCACAGCCATCAGCACTCCATGTGCTCCAGCTGCATGCCAAGGAAAAGCATCCCAGAACAGACTGCCTCATATGACAGGAATATCAAAGCAAAAGGCTGCAGCAAAAGAAGGAAGAAGAATTTGGTGGGAGAACACGTTCAGTGTTACCAAACCAGCAACACCAAACATGTCCGATCAACATATTTTCTCCAGTGACCAGGGACAGGGCCAGTGGCTGGAGCTGTGCCAAGGGCAGGTCAGGCTGGAGATCAGGGAAAGGCTCTTCCCCAGAGGTGCTGGCACTGCCCAGGCTCCCCAGGGGATGGGCACATCCCTGAGGCTGCCAGAGCTCCAGGAGCGTTGGGACAGCGCTGCCAGGGGTGCCCAGGGTGGGGCTGTTGGGGGGTCTGTGCAGGGATGGGGCTGGGCTGGGGGATCCTCTGGGTCCCTCCCAGCTCAGGATATTCTGTGACTCTCCAATTAAAGAGCTGCCTGCAGTACCTTAAAATCCACAGCATCCCTGTGACACAAGAGCAAGTGACAAAGACACAAATGTGGGGGAAATACCCAGAGAAATGGGGTGGCACAGAAGCAAGAAGAAAAGTAATCTTTTGAGGCTGGGTTGCAGGGTTTTATCAGAAAAGTATTGTAGTCATCTTGGGAGGAGCTGAACCTGCTCCTGTCCTGGTGCCTGCTTTGTCTCCAAAGTGATGGCTTTGCTAACAGAGCATGCTGGGCGCCCTCACTGCCCACTGAGGCAAGTGGGAAAGGCAGGGGAAAGGAAGACCAAGGACAGATAAAATATTTCTTGTAGGTGATGACAAAGTTAAATGATAGAGTGTGCATAAGTTTACATCACCTAATGGGAGTTATGGGCCTTCAAGAATCCAAATGGTCAGGAAATATTAAAATGCAAAACAAACCCTGTAACAATGTTTGGGCTGATGGCTCTGCCTGCTCTAACACTACATCTTGCACGAAACAGATGACCTTGAAATGTCAGAGTTGTTTGGGAGGCAGAGTTTTACACCTCGTGGTAAATAGCTGTTTTCATTGTTTCATATTCTTGTATTACGGAAATGGAATGAGGAAGATGTTCCTGCCCATGGCAGGGAATTCACCTAGTTGATTTTTAAGGTCCCTGCCTACCCAAAACATCCTATGATTTTATGACAATGGGATTGGAGGATCTGAGATATGAGGAGAAGCTGAGAGAGCCTGGTCATTCAACCTATAAAGATAATTCAACCTATAAAGATAAGGCTCAGGTGAATCATATCAGTGTGCACAGAGGTGAATAGAAGATGGAGCCAGACTCTTCTCCCATTAGAGATATCAAGGGCACACTTTTAGGATTATCTCTGTGGAGAGCCAGGTCAGGAAAAGCTCAGCAACCAAAGGAGACTTTCATGGGAATGCCAAGATTCCAACACCAAGAGAACAGTGGCACGACTGAAGGCCTGTCATTAGTGGTGTCCCCCAGGGCTCACTCCTGGGCCCACTATCGTTGAACTTGCTCATCAATGACTTGGATGAGGTTGTCAATCCCTCCCACAGGGTCGCTGTGCATCCCCTCAGAGGGATCTCAGCAGGCTGGGGATGGGCAGAGAGGAGCCTTCTGAAATCCAGCAAGGGCTAAGGCAGGGTCCTGCACCTGGGGAGGACCAGCCCTGGGCACCTGCACAGGCTGGGGCCAACCTGCTGGGAAGCAGCTTTGTGGAGAAGGACCTGGGGGTCCTGGTGGACAAGAAACTTTCCATGAGCCAGCAGTGTGTCCTTGTGGCCAAGGGGCCACTGGGATCCTGGAAAGCACTGGGAACAGCATTGCCAGCAGGTCAGGCAGGGGATTCAGTCCCTCTGCTCAGCCCTGTGAGGCACATTTGGAGTGCTGTGTCCAGCTCTGGCTCCTCAGCACAGCAGGGCCAGGGAGCTCCCGGAGTGGGGCCAGCCGAGGCTGCGCAGCTGAGCAAGGGCCTGGAGCATTTCAGTGCCCAGGAAAGGCTGAGGGAGCTGGGGCTGCTCAGCCTGGAGAGGAGCCCCAGTGAGAGGGGCCTCAGCCCTGGGTGTCCTGGTGTGCAGGGAGGGGCAGAGCAGGGCCCAGGCTCTGCTCCCTGGGGCCCAGCAACGGCACCAGAGGAACGGGCAGGGAGCGATGCCCAGGCAGCTCCACCTGGACAGGAGGAAGAAATTCTTTCCTGTGCAGTGACCGAGCACTGAACAGGCTGCTCAGGGAGGCTGTGGAGCATCCCTCACTGGAGATACTCCAGAACTGTCTGGATGCAGCCCCGTGCCATGCTGTGGGATGGCCCTGCCGGAGCTGGGAGTTCAGACCGGCTGCCGCCCTGTATCCGTGCTGGGATCCCGGGGCTGTGCGAACACGGCGGCAATTGAATTGAATTGAATTGAATTGAATTGAATTGAATTGAATTGAATTGAATTGAATTGAATTCCATTCCATTCCATTCCATTCCATTCCATTCCATTCCATTCCATTCCGTCCCGTTCCGTTCCGTTCCGTTCCCCGCCCCTCAGCGCCGCCGCCGCCGCCCGGCGCGTGCGTGCGCAGCGCGGGAAGGGCGCGAGTCGCGCGGGGCGGCGCGGCGGGCGCGCGCAGGCGCGGGGCGGGGCGGCGGGCGCGCGCAGGCGCGGGGCGGGGCGGGCGCGCGGCGCTGATGCAAGAGCGGAGCTCGGACTGAGCCCGCGGCACCGACCGACCCCGCTCCCTCCGGCCCCTCCGGTCCCTGCGGCCCCTCCGGCCCGGCCCAGCCCGCCGCAGACATGTCCGGCGACGAGGTGAGACCCGTCGGCCGCCGCCGCAACCCCGCGGGGGCCGCCGCCGCAACCCCGCGGGGGCCGCCGCCATGTGGGCGCCGGGCCTGAGGCCTGCGGTAGCGCGGCCTCCGCCCTGCGTGGGCCCGAGGCCGGGGCGGGCGGGGGTCCCGCCGGGCCGGGGCCGGGGCTGGGGCTGGGCAGGGCCGCACGGGGGGCTCCGCCGTGCCTGCAGCCCCGGCGGAAGGCCCGGAGCTCCCGGGAAGGCCCGGAGCTCCCGGGAAGGCCCGGAGCTCCCGGGAAGGCCCGGCGCTCCCGGGAAGGCCCGGAGCTCCCGGGGTGCTGCCGGCGGCCGCCCCTGGCGCGGAGCAGCCGGAGCGGGAGGCAGATGGCACCGCCACCGCTGCCCCGTCGTGTTCTGCCTCTGGAGTGAAACGCGGCGTTTAGGCTGTTACCCCTCGCGGTCTGGAGCTTTTGGATCTCGGGTTTTAACCTTGAGAGGGGAATAGCAACATCTGAACAAATAATAAGCAAACGTTTTCCGGATCTGGCGGTGTTTGTCTAGGCACAGTACCGGGGAAGTTGATACATCCGTCCGTGTCTGAGAGATTTTTCAGTTGTTGTACATGCCCTGTAGTGGCAGCTCTACTGGCCTCATTTCCATTGTTCTCATGGGGAAAAGGAAAGTTTCCCGTGTGCGAGGTGCTCATCAGCCTGGGATGCTGCTCCAGCCGGATCCTGGAGATGGCTGCTTCTGGCTTTGTGTTTTCTCTCTGGTGTTTAAAATACCTGTGTGGCTTGTTTCCTTCAAAGCAAAGTGATCACTCAAGTCTTGGAGAGAAGCTTGTCCTACGTCATAAAGGAGAACTGGTATAATTACGACTTATTTTAGTGGTAGCTGTGACTGACTTACTCAGCTGCTTTAACATCTAGAATGAATGCGTTGCATTTGTGTGCCTAGATGTGTCATGGGAGCTGCAGTTCTCATGTCTGGGCTGTTCTCTGCACCCAGGAATGCTTGCATCATGTGCTGTCTGATTCAGGTGATCTCAGGGCCATGGAGCAGTTCGTGGAGTGTCCTGCTTTGAATTTAGTTTGTATCAGTAAAATTGGTTTTCTTGTATAGTGGATTAATTTGACATTGAAGTGATTCCTGGGAAGTTGCATCTCTGGGTTGCTTGATGTGACAGAGAATAAAGATGATGGCAGATAACACAGTGGAGCTGGCACTTTTCTTCAGGCTGGTGTGCAGTGAGTGCAGGTGCCTTCCAGGACTCTGGTCTCTGGGAGCCAGATACTTTGATATTGGTGTTAAGTTGGTGAAACTTTTTAAAGCCTGTGAGATCAAGGAGGGTGGAGACACATGCAGACAAATTTAACACTGGAAACTGGGCTAGATGGTGAGAGGTTCATTGTGTTGAGCTGTAGCTTAAAGTTTTCAGAGTTGTGTATGAATGAAACTCGTTGCTGGGAACATCCCTGAGTGCTGCCTGGAGCTGGGGCAGCACAGGCCCAGTTGTGAGAAGTGGTCTGTTAATGTCTGTTCACTTCGTTAAAAATCCTGCAAAGTACATAATCCCACTGAAGACCTGAAAGTTCTTTGAGCCCTGCAGTTTTGTGAAGCTTCAGGCAGTAATACTGGAGAGTGCTGTGTTTTGACAAATTTAAGTGCTGCTTGGTCTTAGTAATTTTGCCCCTCTCCCTAGTCGTAAGGCCACCTGAACTGATTGATCAGGGCAGGGGTGATGTTTGCTTCTTGGACACGCCTGTGTTTATTCAGACTAAGGAAATGGGATTTATTTGTGGCTGCTGTTGGAATCCCTGCCACTTGCCACTGTCACAGCAGTTCAGAGGTTCATTGGCTTCAGTCTTGAGTTGCATTTGGTCTATGAAACCTTGATTCTGTTTCCCCCCCCCTCTGTTCACTTGCTAATATTCTGTAAGTTGGGATTTGGCCTGTGTAGGCATTTGAAGTAAGGAGCAGGTATATGGGGATGGATGTGAGAAGGAACCATGTGGTCTGCAGAGGAGAAAACCCCATATGGGAATTTGCCTCTGCGAGCAGGAACAGGATGGGAATCTATTTTTTTTTTTTTTTCACACAGGAAAAGAATCCAGGTTTGTTGTGTTTGTGCTGGGGGCTGAGGTTCCTTCAGGAGAAAATCTGCAGCTTTGTAGTTTGTCAGCACTAACCGGTATCATAAAGTTGAGACAAAGCCAATGTGCTGAGCAGAGAAAAGGAATAAAGTTTGGAAACACCTGCCTCAGAAAGCCAGAACATGACCAGCTGGGTTATCAGGCTGGTTCATTTATGTCATGACTTGTTAAAGCAATTGTGACCTAAGGCTCCCGCTGAGTGCTTGTTGAAGCCCTTGGTGAACAAAACATTTCAGGCTTAGGCATCCTCCTCCTCAGGTTGTGAAGTGTGCCATGTTCTGAGTAGGTGTTGGGTGTGCCACCCCTTGCCCTGCCTGGCTGGGGTGGCTCTCCTCAAGGCCACCTGGGTTTGATGCTGAAAACCAATCTCCTGCATCCAGGAGTTGTCTTGGTGTGTTCAGTTTATGGTGGTTCAGATGTCTTTTCCCTCAGAAAAAGAGATTAGGGGTGGGTGGGCTGGTTCCTTCTTAGAAACTGTTACATCTGATCAAGGCATGATCTTAGGTTTGTTTCACGTGAGACAATAAAAACCTCTTCAGAGTCTTGTAGAGCATCTTCATGGAAATGAGTCAACCACTTGTGCTGGATGCCATGCAGGCAGCTCTCCTGGGGAGGTCCAGGAGGAAGCAGACGTGGAACCAGTTGGACATGCTGTGATTTCTGTGCATTGCAGCAGCATGATTCACGCCACTATCTATGGAAGCAGCAGAGAAAAGCCCTCTGGCTTTCTTCTGAAGATCATTCCAGCACAGTGTGTGCAACTAAAGACCCACTTCAGCAGTTTGAAAGCCTCAGGCCCCCCGTGTGTGTGCTGGTTTGGGGATGTTTGTGTCTGTTGTGCTGCAGACACCCATATGAGCAGTTTGATGCCTTTAGTAGAGCCTGAACAAAACATGCATGTTTCATAAAATTAGAAGAATATGGCAAGAACAGCATGTGTAGGAGAATGAGAAATGCAAGGAAAGGTCGTGTTATGGGGAGAGGGAAACCACCAGACTTCAGGGGTAGCTGGGCAAGAAGTTGGAGAGCTGCTCCTTGGTGAAGTGCTGGCTGTTTCCTGAGTGAGGGTGTTCATGATGGTGAAGTACAGCTCTGTGAGAACATTCTTCCATTACTGGATAAGGAACATTGGAGAAAGTGTCTAAAATGGTTGTATTTCATATAAACTATAGTGTGATAGTCCAGGCAGATGTAACAAACTGACCATCAGCTGGGATGTCAGCTTGTGTCTGAAGTGAAACAAAAAGCTTTAATGTGTTGGAATAAATCCCTCAGGTCTGCACATGATAAATAGGTTAAAAGTGAGTCTGAGGTTAGTGCCTTCTTCACAGCCAGACAAGGTGAATTAAGCTGCTTTGCTGGGTAAAGAGCTCATGAACAGCTTTTATTCACTTGGTGTCTGAGGTTCAGTTTCTCACTCTGGGGAGGGAGAAGGATTAGACCTTTGCCATTTCAGTGTTCAGTTCAGAGCTGATGCAGGTCTTGCTGTATCACCAGCCCCTTCTAGGCTTCTTCTCATCCAGAGTGTTCTTGTCAAGAGAGTGGTGGCAAATCTTGTCTTCAGTAAATCTGGGATTTAATGTGTCTCACAAGTGAAAGTGATTTGCGGTCAAAACATGTGCTTTGGTGGGATTAAATTTTCTTCTGTGCTGAGTGGTGCTGTATTATTGCAAATTGGAGTCCATAATGGTCATAAAATAGAGATGGTAGCCAGTCTGTCAGAGTGACAGCTTTAACATTTTTTCAGCTGCACTAATAATTAGGTGACAGGAAACTTGGACTACAGGAAAAGTAGCAGGTGCTGTGAACTCTGTCAGTTTTCCCTTGTAATTGCCATAGTTGAGGTTGAAGCTGAGGAGCAGTTTGGGGAAAGTGTTACAAATAATAAATGGGAGGCTGATTATTGAGCTGCTAAGGAGCTCTTGACTTTTACAGATGATTTTCGATCCTACTATGAGCAAGAAGAAGAAGAAAAAGAAGAAGCCCTTCATGCTGGATGAGGAAGGAGGAGGAGACCTACAAACAGAGGAGACTCAGCAATCAGAAACAAAGGAAGTTGAACCAGAGCCAACAGAAGACAAAGATGTTGAAGCAGATGAAGAAGACAGCAGGAAGAAAGGTAAGGTGAATTCATGTAGATAAACTCTCAAAGGTGCTGTTTTGAGACTACAGGCCCAATTTCAAGAATTTGGTATCCCAGAGTATAATGCCAGAGCGTTGGTGTGTTCAGAGATTTGTGAGTTATCTCTGCTGCCTGTTTGGAGGGCAGCTTGCCCTCTTGCTTGGAATCACGTTCACAGACACCACCAAGCTCCCAGGGGCTTATGTAATTTCCAGTTTTCTAACTCAACAGTCCTTTGTGTTAGGCACTGAAAAGAGACTCTCTAAAAGAGTGTGAAGTTTTAAATCTTCCATGTGCAGTTGTTGCAGTAATTCCACAATTATGGCTCTTTTTCATTTGAACAGTTAAGCAATAGTGTGAATAACAGAAACATGGCTAACGGAATGTCTAGTTTTTGGACAATTCAGAAAGTGATAACCAGAGTGTTCTTTGGAATCTTTCAGGAAGTGTGTGATTGTGTATAAAACCTTGCTTTTTAAATTGAGGCCAATGTATTTGCAAGATTACCTAATTCAGAGAGTGCCATTAACTTAAATCCAGTTTGTTGATAAATTGACTCTTGCTGCAGACCAAAGAAACTGCACCTTCCTCGTGCACTTCTCATTTTCTGTCCAAGCATCTCTAATGACTAAAGTGACTAATTTATCTTGTACAGCAGCAAGAAAGATTAAACATTTAAAGAATCAAAAGACACAGAAGGTGCAGAAACTAAAACAGTATTTGGGGGCAGAGGGGAATGATCTCTTCAAACCTGAAGCATATCCACAGGGGTTACAGATCATTGCTTGTATCTTACTGTGATGTTTTAAAGATTTGGATGTCAATTAGAAGCCTTAATGTCTGAACTGTTTCTACAGTTACACTTCTTTAGACAACCCTTTGTTTTTTAGATACAACAGATGACTTGGATGATTTAAATTTCTTCAATCAAAAGAAAAAGAAGAAAAAAACAAAAAAGATATTTGATATTGATGAAGCAGAAGAAGGTGTAAAGGTTTGTTTACATAACTTGACTATGGCTGAAAACTCTATTTGTTCTATTTTGTTGTTTTTTTTTTTTTTTTTTTCTTGAAATTGGCAGTGCAGGAGTTGTCTCAAGTCTGTCATTGTGTCTTGGTACAGTTCATAACTAAACTTTACATGTCTTTTTTTTTTTATTATTTTTTAATGCACATGTTGCTCCTGCCTGGGCTTTTTGTCCAGAAGTGGAAAAACTTGCCTGCTCTGCACAAAGAGCAAGTAATTCACTAGTCTGGAGGAAGAGCTGATTAACCTCAAGGTTAATTGTCTTCTGGGGTTAGAGAGATAACTGGATGTCAGAAGCCACACACAGAACAGTCCTCCAAAGGCCAGCACTTCAAATAAAGTGCACATATCTGCCAAGAAATCTGTTTTCACTCTGGTGTTTTCTTTAGAAAGGATTGGCTACTGTGCTGTGTTCCAGAAGGTGTACAAGATATTTTTACTCTTCTCAAGTTTTATTCCAAGTAGTATTTTTGTATCACATGTCAGTGGAACTGGCAAGCCCAGAGAGCAGGAGGACAGAGAAATGTTATGTTATGCATAAACCTCCTTTTCAAATTCTGTCTTTTGGGGAAGAAAATGTTCATCTGATCTGCCTCAGGGTAGTACAGAATACTTGTTCTGTGTTCTTTCAGTGTGCAGAATTGTGATAACGAATTAGAGTAGCACAGCTTTGCTTTCCCTTGCTGCTGCCATGAAGGGTGTTTTGTTCCCTCCTGTCCTCAGATGGCTGCTGTCCTAAGTGCAGTCTGACCTTGTTCCTGGCTAGCCAGAAGTTAAGCCAGAAGGTGCAAGTCTGGCCCTGCTGATGGCAGTAGTGCAGGGTATAGAGCTCTCTTGAACATGCTGGAATTCCATTCTTACCTGTTGGGTTTCAGGGCTGTGGTGGGTGTCACCAGTATTCACCTCTATAGTGTACAGCTGGTGTTATTTCTGGTGCTATGGAGGGCTGTGGTGAACAAGGATAAACTACAGTCTTACTAATTTGCAGGAGTTGAAAATTGAAGGAGATGTGCCAGATACAGTAGAACCTGAAGATGACCTTGATATCATGCTGGGCAATAAAAAGAAGAAAAAGAAGAATGTGAAGTTTCCAGATGAAGATGAGATAATGGAGAAGGATGAAGGTAGAAGTATAACCTAGCTCTGTGAAATGTCAGAAGTGAAATGTAGTCCACCTTGTATGTGAATAAGTTCAGTTCAAATGCCTTTTTTGTTCCAAAATTTATCAGAAAAAATGTTCTATAAAAGCCCTGTATAAATTTCCCATGAGTGCTGGTGTCCCTTTTTGACAAACAGAGAAGACTTGAGTCCACATCTCAGTGGAATTTTCTCCTCTGTACCTTTTAGAAATCATGTAATCGTGAGGTTAAAGAATGTTTCTTAATGAATCCCCAAAAACTTTCTTTACAGCATTTGAGGATGAAGATAGCAAAAAAGATGATGGAATTTCTTTTAGCCTTCAGTCAGGACCTGCGTGGGCAGGCTCAGAAAGAGACTACACATATGATGAGGTAATGTTCCAGAGACTTTTAAAACATATTTTCCATGTTCATGTGCATCAGTAGAGCCTTATGCTCATATTTCCTACTTCTAACTTCAGAGTGAAGGACATGTAGTCAGTAGATAATGAGCAGAAGCTAACATGGCGTGTCTTGTATTACAGTAATTTTCACTATATTATCATATTTCAAACACCTCTGCCATGGTCAGAGCAAACCCTTGGGGAAGCAGTATTGGCATTTTGCATTTATCAGAATGCTTTACATGTCTTCTGAAGCAGGTGGGGAAATGCTCTTAGGCAAAGGTAGTCTGATATTCACTGTGAATGCTGTTTCAGGTGGCTTTTAGAGGTGAGGTACTTTGAGGAATGCAGATGCTCACGTGGGTGTGAATCCCTCCTTTTGCAGTTGCTCAATAGAGTTTTTAACATCATGCGGGAGAAGAACCCAGACATGGTGGCTGGAGAGAAGCGGAAATTTGTCATGAAGCCCCCGCAGGTTGTGAGAGTAGGGACCAAGAAAACATCTTTTGTCAACTTCACAGATATCTGCAAATTGTAAGTTTCCCCTTTGGATTTCCCAGGAATAGCAGATGGATGCACTGCTCTGTGCCCCCGTAGAGTTTTCTGGCAAGTGACTGTGGCAAACCAGGAGTGGAAGCTATTTCAGTCAGAGAGCTCATTACATTTCTCTGTGAGAAGATAATTCTGAACATTATTTATTGAGATAATTTCTAATTTTATACTCAAATTCCGAAAATGATACATGGGCTGAAACTTGGTGGGTTCATTGGGTTCTAGCAAGTTGGGTCAACAGTGACATTTATGTGCCAGCCTTGATGAGAAGGGTGGGAATAGTTCTTTCTAATTTGAGCTGACTACAAATACTGTTCTCTTGATAAACGGTATGGACTCCAGTAGTGTTTTTCCCACTGTTTTCTGCAGTGATACCTGTCTTAATTATGTCTTGTGAAGGCAGCTCTGTTCTTTGTGAGCATTTCTGGGAATGCAGATCTGATGGGTATCAGAAGTGTGCCAGAAAACAGGCCTGGTGAAACCCTGCTGAGGATCTGGGTTGTGCACTAAGGGGAGTTTTTAATGGTAGCTACTAATGTTTCTTCAGGGGATGGATCAGTAAGAATGAAAGATCTGTAATAGAAAACGTCTTTTCACTAGTTACCGTAATTTTGAGTTGGGAACAATGGAAAGATTTTTTTGTGTGGACTGCTCTTTGGTGCAGACCCCTGGCACTGCTCCCTTTGAAACTTTCTAACTTAAATTGGATTTATCCTGCCAGTCCTGTACAAATACCAAATTTCTCTGAAGGGGGAAGGTTAAACATTTCCTTACTTTATTTTTAGATTACATCGTCAGCCAAAACATCTCCTGGCATTTTTGTTGGCAGAATTGGGTACAAGGTAAGACTGCTGGGCTGTGTGTGTGTGCTCAGGATTTATATTGGTCCAATATAACGTTTTTGAGGTTAGATCTGTATAGATGTGCTGGAACATGAGGCTTTTGTTCCCTGCACTTCAGCGCTGTGCTGGGTGATTGAGGAGAGAACGTTTTAGTGAGGAGGTACAGAGGGAAACTCTCAAGTCCAAGGGAATGGTCTTGTTCACTCCCCTGAGACACACAGGTGAGGGCAAAACTTCTGTAGCTCTTAAGTTATTTGAATTTTGCATTTTTTTTGTCCCTACAACACAATTCTGTCTGTGCTCTTCTTGAAGAATGTATCTTTGTCTTGCTTCATGTTCCTGATTTGTTTTAACGCTTCACACCTGCAAATCAAAAAATGCATTTTCTTTTTTTCAATTAGTGGTTCAATAGATGGTAACAACCAACTGGTAATCAAAGGAAGATTCCAGCAAAAACAGATAGAAAATGTCTTGAGAAGATATATCAGTAAGTAGAACTCCCTTTCCCACTGCAGATTTCTCTCAGCCCCCTTGTGACACCTGCGTATGGCCCAGGTGTGTGCCCATCATGGAGGAGGCTGAGGAGCCACAACTTCCCTTTATCATGGAATAGTGCAAATACAGGTGGTTCTGCCATGGTTAGACCATGGGCTGTACCCTGTCCTGCACTAAAGCATGCCAATGAAAACAGCATTTGAGAACTGCTTGTTCTCATCTGAGCCTCATATCTTGGCTTTGATGAGGACTGTGGAAAGCAACAGTAATTGTTGTTTTTCCAGTCTGTTGTACCCGTGAATTGACAGATGCAGTGTTAAGATAAGTTCTGTTCAAATGCCTTTTTTGTTCCAAAATTTACCAGAAAAATGTTCTATAAAAGCCCTGTATAAATTTCCCATGAGTGCTGGTGTCCCTTTTTGACAAAGAGAGAAGACTTGAGTCCACATCTCAGTGGAGTTTTCTCCTGTGTACCTTTTAGAAATCATGTAATTGTGAGTTTAAAGAATGTTTCTTAGTGAATCCCCATAAACTTTTTGTGCCACAGCTGGTCAGAGGACTCAGATTATGTGTCCCAAAGCTCCTGCTTTAGTGCTGTGTCAGTGCCAGAGCTGCTGACACCTGGCAGTGCTGCCTCAGCAGAGGAGCACCAGTGGGAAATGTGTACTGGTGATTAGCACTAAAGCAGTGTCAGTGCCTGATGTACCACACAGAACCTCCTCCTGGCTATCCAGGGGCGAATTTTAGTGTCACAGTCATCCCCTGTGAGCTGGTGGGTGTGTTGGAGCAGCTTTTAGAGCGCTGTGAGCAGCAGCAGGGCTGACTGCCCTTTGTTCCTGCAGAGGAGTACGTCACCTGCCACACGTGCCGCTCCCCCGACACCATCCTGCAGAAGGACACGCGGCTCTACTTCCTGCAGTGCGAGACCTGCCACTCCCGCTGCTCCGTGGCCAGCATCAAAACCGGCTTCCAGGCTGTCACAGGCAAGAGAGCACAGCTCCGTGCCAAAGCTAACTAGGTTTGCTAACAGCACTGCGGTTGGCAGCGTGTTCTGGGGAGATGGGACTGGACAGGTTTGCAATCCGAGTGGATTTACCATTGTATTAAAGCGAGGTTGTAAAAACAACAACAAATTTGGCTTTTGATTGATTGGTCTGTGAAATCCTTGCAAGATGCAGATCCTCAAGCTGTTCACATACATTTGCTCATTGAATATATTTTACCAACTGTAAGGAGCGTGGTGGGAAAGGAGGTGCTTTTTAATCCGTTCAGACTTCTGTAAAAGACAAGATAAATTAAAGATACTATAACAGTGAGTGTCTTGGATTTGGATTTTTCCTTCAGTTTCCTCTTCAAACACTGGTGGGAATGGTTGGTGTGTTGTTCTGAATATCATGTCACTGAGCTATGTCCAAGTCCCAGAATGAAGTTCTAAGATAAAGGTTATTTTGCTTTCACATAACAGGCTTATTTTAGTTTTACTGTCATGAAACAGAGAAACCAGTCACAGAGTCCCAGGGCTGACAGGCCAACACGAGCCCTGCTCCTGCTTGTACAGCCACGGGTGCCTTGTGCACAGGCTTAATTAGGCAAAAATAGCTTTGAGACAGTTCAGACACCAGATTGGTGCTGAATTTTAACACAGACTCAGTAAACTGTACTGTAAGTTTTCATAGTGTCATAGTACTAAATTTTGAAATTTCTAATAGAGAGACATTTATATTTCTGAAGTCCTGCACTCTTCATCACTTTAAAAAGAATCTAAATGCAGCAAAAAACAAAAAAAGTAATAGGTCTAAATGTCATTGTATGGTGGCTGCAGCACAGTCTTCTATAAATCCTGAATTTGCAGGAGATACTGCCAAGTAATTTGGATTCCAAATTAACACTTTTTGCTTCAGGATCTTCCCATGCCCTTCCTCTGCTGGCAGCGTGGGTGACCTCGAGGGGACACCTGGTGCTGTCCTCGCTGGGTTTTGTGCAGAAGTTCTTCCAGCTGGGCATGCAGATGGGAGGGAAGGTCCCCCCTGGGTTGCAGAAGTGGGGACAGTTGTCACTTGGTTACCAGAATGTCCCAGATGGAGGGAAAGGTGCAGCAGCTCAGGGCCCTGGGCACCCCCCTGCGGGTCAGGGGAGCAGCCTCCTCCCCAGGGGAGCTGGTCCTTTGAAGGCAATACAGCAAACACCACAACTTGAAGGGTTTCTACTGAGTTTTAACCTTTGTATGTTAACACGGAGCACAGTATTGCTGGGGAGTCACTCACTTGCTATTTGAAAACTTTGACAGTGCTGTAAGGTGGAAAATCAAGGTTTTATGGTTGGTTTCTTAAAAGCATTTTGAATTTCAAGTGAGCTATACCAATGTTGGATGTATCTTAAAGTGAATAAAGCCAGGATCAGTGCCTCTTGTAACATTGTTGTATTCTTGTTTCTTCCTCTAGCAGAGTCTCCTGTTGGGGGTTAAACCTTGGAGAAGTACAAGTTGCCTTTTTGTTTTGGTGACTTGCTTGTGGGACACCCTGAAATAGCTGAAGAGCAATGATACTTTGTTTTTAAATGCTTTTTTTCCCCTGGGTCAAATACCTTTAACATACTTTAAAAAATACAGCGTGGCCTTGAGCTGGTGCTGTATTTCAGTGCTTTAAATGAAAAGCTTGATTTAGTGAAATTGGATGAAAAAGATCCAAGTTAATAAAGGAATAAACCATTGTTCCAGCCTCTCAGCTCTGAGCTCTGGCTCGCAGGAGGGTTTCAGAGGTGTATTTTGTAGATGTGCTTTGAGTCTGTGCATGAAACCCTGAAGGCTTTTAATGACTGATATTGGAGTGCAGCATCTTGAGCTGTAGGCTCAGATCCTGCTGTGGAATAAGAATAACCTCACTAATGCAGGAACAGCCTGTCTAGGAGCAGATATCAGTTGGGGCTTATTTTTTTTTAGGAAAAACTTCACAGTACATTCAAATAATGTTGTATGAACACAAATGTCTCATGCTGCCCGTGAGGCCGATGTGAGTTTGAAGTGCAGTCGTGTTCAAAGGCAGAAAAGATTTTACTTGAGCTGGCTGTGAGAAAGCAGTTTAGGGATGGAGCTCTTAACAGAGGAGCTGTGGTTCCCTGTGTCTGTGTGCAGATACATTTTTGGAGGCAGAGCTGGTTTTGTCCATGTTTTTTTCTCTCTGAGCTGAAAATTGGCTGTGTGGGGATGTGGGAGCCACATTGTAGGTACTGAAAGTCCCTGTGTGAACAAGAGCTGGGCTGCTCCTTCTCCATGGATTTTGCCATGCCCAGTTCTCCACCTGACCCAAGTAGTCTGAACAATGCAGGGCTGTTCCTCCAAGCAGTGAAGGTGAAACATCTTCCAGCCCAGAACATTCAAGAGAAAATCATCTGAGACTTGTCCCTGCAGGTGCTGGGAGCACAGGGTGAGTTGCTGTTGTGGTCAGTCAGCCTGAGCTTTACTGCTGCCTTGGAAGAACAATCTCTGTATCCCCACTTCTGCCCAGATGTGCTTTTATCTCCACTGTCAAGGGGTTGGGGACATGAGTAACCAGGGAAATGGGAACATCTTGTGCCCTAATTGAGCACGAATCCAGTGGGATCAGCTGCCCTGGGGCTCATGTGCTTCTGTTCTGCTGAAATCACTGGTGGCTGCTATGAAAATCAGTGAGAATAAACTCCATTCCTGGGAGCTTCTGGCCAGAGCAAGAATTTAATAATTTTTTAACCACAGCTGGTGTAAAGGAGAAGCATTTATGAAATGGCTCCATGGAGAGCTGGGAGTTCCTGGCTGGTCCCCAACTGATGTGCAGCATGTCCTCCAGGTATGGCCACCACACCCTGAGATCTGGGGTTTGGGGCAGCTCTGGGGCAGCTTCTCAGGGAGCCTGGGGCATCTGGGGTCGTCAGCAAGGAGAGGAAAAAAACAGATTTTTCAGAGCTGCTGCTACCAGGACAGGGTTTGTCACAAACTGCAGGGGGTGTTGAGCTTTAATCAGGTGAAAGGACCTGATTAACGGTCCTGATGGTGGCTGGCAGGGAGGCACAAGAATAGAAACAGCAGGAAGTTGCTGAAAATCAAGAAAATGTGAAATCGAGTGTGATGCTGACTGCTGAGAATCATTAGAATTTATCTGTTCATCTTCTAAATAACATTTCTCCAGCTCTCTGTTCTGCCTCTGTGCTCAGTTTTCTCGTAGAAGTTTATTCCAGATTACTTTAATAATCTTTTTCTCCTAAAGAGAAACAAGCTCAGGGGCTGGTGCTGATCATTAACACACATTATCTCACCTGGACAAGCCTCTGCTTTGAAGGGACCTCACCTGGCTTCTGTCCCTGGACTAACGATTTTGGTGTTTGCAGCTCTTTCATTATCTTAGCTTTTTTTTAGTCATTATTTTATCTATTTCAGTGATGAAGACAGGGCAGTGCCATCAGTCATTCAGCCAGTCTGTAGTTTTTAGGAAAAGCCTGAAGACAGTTTTCCTGCAGGTGTTTCACCATATGTGGATATAGATAAGCTCTACATAAACTTTCACAGAGGTATCACAGCATAACCCTTACACTCATATATATCCTTGATACAGGATGGTTGTCAGTCTGTCCCAAGCCCAAGGGAGCAGTTCTTTTTACAGAAGGAGAAATTCCAGCTGCCAGGAGAAATGTGTTGCTGCCCAAAAAACCCGAGGAATTGGGTTTTCCTCAGCAGAAGAAAAATATTCCCTCACTTCCCTGTGCTCTTGTGTGTACAGACAGGCTCATTCCTTGCTGTTCATCCTTTTTCCTTTTGGCACATTGCAAACACCTGCATAATTCTGGAATAAAGCAGTCACCACTTTACTTCTGTGCTGGGAAGCATTTTTCTGCTCAGTACCCAGCAGAAATGTGCGGTACCTCCCTCCCTCTTCAGCCCATTGCATCCCCCACAGAGGTCTCTGGACTCACAGAAGTTCTGCTTTTTCTAACAGAAGTGGCATCCTTAATTCTACATTCTAAGGTAAAGCAAATCACTTTTAAAATCCATTGTTTCTTCCCCCAGCCCTGCTTTGGGTAATTATAAGTTTGGGTGTATTTCTTTCTTCTGTGTGAGAGAGCTGCTATGGGTGGGAGCAGGAGTTGAAGCAGTTTGTGCCCTGATTGTCACTGATGTCAGGTGTTTTATTACAGGGAGGAAATTGTAATGTGAGTCATTTTGAAAATAAATAAGGCACAGAAGGCCAATAAAAAATAAATTTTCACTTACAATTTTCCTTTTGTGGACTGAAATGTCTCTATGCTGCTCATGGCCCTCAGAACCTGCTGCAGGCCTTGTGCTATGTTTTTGTTCAGCACAAAAATTGCCATTTTTCCACCAAGGCAGTGAAAAAATAAGTTCTGAGAAATGTGAGCTCATGTGAAATTAAACTTAAAACATTTTTCTTTCCTGCCTTGCCCCCACCCTCCCTGACACCCTCAGACAAGAGAGGGAGGAGTGATTGCTTTCTTTTTTCTTCTGAAGGAGCTGTCTGGGGTTGTCCTGGTGTGTGATTTGGCTTCGAGGTGTGGCTGTTGAAGTTTCCCTGTTGGTGGGAAAGCCCTTCCTTGGGGCTGCCTGTGGAGTCTCCACTATTGCACACATGGCAGTTTGTTTTTAATTCCAGACGGCCAAAGCTCACCCTGGGTCAGGGGTAGCTCTGTGTGGTGGAAAAGTCTCTCCTCCAGCCCATGCTTCCAGAGAAAGGCTCAGCAGTCTCTTGTTGTCCTGTCTCATGGTTGTTTATTGCAAGTTATCTAAAAGATTTCCTTCTTGAGCTGCTGTGGGTTGCTCACAGCTCAGGCAGAGGCACACACACACCCTGACATCCTCTCTGACTCCCGACTGCTTCTTCTCTCCCCACCCAGGGCTGCGCTGTCTTTTATATGGTACATTACGTGTTACATGGGTACAGTTTGTCCCCAATGCCTATTACCTATATTAAATGGTGCTTTTCTATCTTTTATATGGTACATTACGTGTTACATGGGTACAGTTTGTCCCCAAGGCCTATTACCTATATTAAATGGTGCTTTTCTACTCTAAACCAACCTGTGAGTGCCAACATCACCAAGAACATGGAGGTAAGGAAGAAGAAAGAGGAAGGACAGGGCAGGCCCAAATCCCTCCATCTTAAAACCTCTGACCCCCATGTACAAAACCAAAACCCCCCTGTACAGCACTCAAAAATTCTTCCCTTTACTTTGTGACTACTTCTACTATAATATCTAAACTTTTGTGACTTTTTGTTCTTCCTGCAAGGTTGGTAAATCATTCCATGGCTCAAACCCAAAATCACAGCTGTTT